ATCCCAGATGATTTTTCTCTCTCTTTTCAATTAACCTGAGATTCATACGAATGCTTCCAATGTTCATCGGAGTAACTGCAGTCCTTTTTAGGGGCTGTATCAAAGTCCTGATTTTCTAACCTGTGCCTTTAAAATTCCGAGCTCCACACATTGATCAACAGTTTTTTTTAGCCGGCGGTTCCCCATATACGCGCCTCACTAATAATATGCCTAATACGTTACCTAATATTGGGTAGCGTTTAGTAAATGTTATCACCCTCCTGGAGGTCACACTATCGTTTTTTTTTCCTCGCCATTGTTTCGCATGAATGGAGCACGGCGCGCCTCAGCATCTGACGATTGGCGCAGCCACTTATGTATAATTCAGTAATTTCACAGAATCACAGCAAGACACATTTATGTTTTCGTTCCTCTCCCCCCCCCCCCTTCAATTAAATTAAATAATGGTCTCTAGAAAAATGGACATAGCAGGGTTCAAACCAGGGACCTTTCAATCCATAGCTCATCTCGTTAACCATAAGGCTACTGTGGCAGCTTGATGACTGCCGTTCTTTTAAATGCTAAAATGATATTCACTAAATAATAACAATGATGTGGCGTCATTGTTCTTTTCTCATAAATAAACAGAACTGATTTTCCACTGAAGCAAAACCAAAAATGAAGATGTACGAAACTTTTGTTCAAGCAATAATGAGGAGGCTGTTATAAGTTAATACACTCGGTAGCGCGCCGTTCGTGGGTCACCAACGAACGGCGCGTTCCTCGCGTATTAACCATAACATAACTGACAGATTCTAATCACAGTATCCTATAACAGAACTCAACCCATCCCATCAAACCCCAACGGTATGGTTTTTTTATAGTCTGTCAGGATGGGTACACTAGTAACTGACAGTCTTTAACATTGGGTTGGTACACCTCCAGAATTAGTCAGAAATGTGTGTGTGCAGTTTCCCATATGGTTTTGGAATTTGCCATGATGGGTATGGTTCCTTGTAAATGATGTAGGAAGTTACGGTTTTAAGAAGTACAATTAACTATTTACCAAAAACATCATACAAATTTGGAAATCACATGTCCGTTTTTTTACTTTTTTATTATGAAAAAGTAAAAATAACAATGCCGGGAGGTTTCATGGGGAATACCGGTTTAAAGTACCATAAATAAAATCCGACACATTTCTGAACCGACAGGCAAAGATAGCCGCATTGATGTGCATCACTGCCTGCATGACAGCAATAGGCGTCATTGTATCAACCAGTCTTGCCTCAGCTAAAGATAACCAGAGACCATCACCCGAAGTAAGTTTTAGTCGTAAAACGTTTTGATCTAAATTTAAAGCGCTATGTGAGTAAAAAAAAACTGTACACTTTTAAAAACAGGCCATAGTTTTATTATATAGATTAGGAGTACTTTTATAGTAACTCTCCGTGCTTCTTTTGGTGACATTTCCACTGGATACGTTTTCATGAATGACTGTACATGAGACAATAAGGGTCGGGTGAAATCTGACTTGCGACCAACAGGTCAGGGCTTGATATGAATGAGACAATATAAAAGAATACAACCAGTGTTAAAAAACGTCGGTGAAGGGCAAAACCTAATTTGATTTATATCACCCCGACGCAAAATTCCATCTTATAATACAATCATTGTCTTGGTTCTGGTCATGGAATGCATAAACTGTTCAGGTTTGTGGATCTTGCTTGCAAGAGTTTCGTCGGCAAATCTGGATGACCTCCAGGAAAGGATAACTCGTGAAATTGATATTCTCAGACAAGAACTGGAGGTGACTCGCCGTGCTGTTGCAGGGAGATGCGCCGAACCCAGCTGTGCATTGAACGAGATGATGGCCATGTTGAGGACTAAGACACCGTGGAATATAAGTGCCTATTTAATTTAGTTTAAATGTTAAAAAAAACCGGCGAAGTTTAAAAGTTAATGAAATCCTGTTCTGTGTCATTGTTAGACAATAGTTGTGTTCTTTTAAATTGTCGCTTTCTTATCCAGCCCTGACCAGTTCGCGCAAGTCAGATTTCACCCAACCCCTTAATTGTCTCCTGTGCAGTCAAGCATGAAAACTAATCCATAAATATGTCCCTGTAAAAAGCAGGGAGAGTTACTCTAAAAGTAAATATGAAAATATCTTATCTATATTGCTACAGAATAAAACTATGGCCAATTTTAAAAGTGAATAGTTTTTTTTGGACTCGCACTAGGGGCCTATATAAGAAACTGTTATTATTACTCTTATTATTATTATTATTATATATTAAATGTATTATCGCTGTAAGGTGCAGTCTTAAACCTAATTCCGGGCTTGACAGTTTAGAATGTGCAGGTGGCTATAGATCGATCTTATATGAATCTCAACTTTTCAAACAAAAGAGATTGTTTTTATGTTGAACCACGGTTGTTCAGTACACGGTTATCGCACATTATTGTGTATTCAATGAACAGTTTCGAATAATGTGCTGCCCTCCGCTCCCCTTGCCTTTTTGAAACTACCTCGGCTCGCCAGGAATTAAATTCGGAAAATTATTTGCCTTCTACATACACCTTTCGTTACCCGTCACGTGTCCCTCAGCCATATACAGTTAAATGACAGAAGAGTCTGTTGTCTGTTGAGAAAAGCCCGGCCAGATGCTTTGCCTGTATCTAAATACAACGAGTTTGCAAAGCGTAAAACTGCAAGAATGACAATAACCATGTTTTTGTGACCCCTTTTTGTCATAAATGAATTATCCCATTTTCTGCATGTCTTTTTGGTACTCGTTACGTGGATTTGACAAAGGATGAATGTAACGTTACAAATTCTTCATCGCCAATTAATTGTGTACAAATGAAGTATGAGCTGTTGGTTGACTTCTTGGTCATCAACACTAATGCTTAAATTATTTTCTTGTTTGATTTGCTTGGTCATTATTATACATAATACTGCCGGGTTTCACTCTTAAAACTATTGTCCTGTCTTCGTCCGTGTGTAGTTGTTTAAGTTCTGTCCTGTCCCAGGCAAAGGTATAGCAGTGCTTCAGTTTTTCCTTTATGTTGACGTCATAGAATATTTACACTTACTGTCTGCGAAGAATGCTTTGTGTATATATACATTTTTCTTCTGTATGGATTGTCACTGAGGATGTCAATGTGAAAATAATGTTGAATTGAATTGAATTCTTGAGGCATGATCTACAATGTATGTGCCGTTTCTCTACATATGTGTTGTGCAGACATTTTGGCCACATGATCAGCATTAATGAACAAGTTTGTGCACCCAGTTTAATATTTGACTCCCAGTCAAGAAAACTACGTCCAATTAATATGGAACAGTGTGGCAAACGTTTCATGCTGACGCTATGGCTCCGTGCGCCAACCAAAGAGGGCGCGTGAATATCAAATTATTATTTAAATATGCTTATCCACGTCATCATTTTTTTTTCTTCAAAAATTACATTTCAAAATATCTTTGTATTGGTCATTAAACCCTTGTATTTGTTAATTGTCTGTTCCAAATATTTTAGACTGGTGACCTAGTGATCAATGGCTTCCTGATAGCAATTGGCTGCACGGAGTTGTCCGCTTCTATCATTTCTGGCTCTCAAGCCGTGGTTTTTGTGCGACAGAGTTAGATTAGCCTCAACATGGTGAGTTGAAATGTATTCTTTCCGTGTTTTTCCTATTGTCTAAAAGCGATTGATTATAACTAATCTGAAGAGAGGTTGCTAAGAATTCAGAATATTGCTTGATTAGTGGTGCAGCGGCCACTAAATCGAAATATTGTCGCATTTTTCTAAAACTTATAACCAATCTTTGTGGCTTTCAGTGGAAAGAAGATTTATATGATGAACCATTTTCAAAAATTCCCCAAATTTTAATGACTTTAATTCGTATTTCTTGAGTCATTTCAGGGGCGGATCCAGATTTTTTTGCCGGGGGGGGGGGGGGGGTGGAATTGTGTATGTGTTCTGTGAAAAAAACTGATTTGTGATATTGTAACAATAATTTATGGAACTCGCACACGCATAGCCTATCTGATGTCTGGACGCCTTGTAATTCAGAGTGAAAAATGAATTTAGGGAAATGTATGGACATTTTCGTTGTCTTGCTTCATTACGTTGGTATTGGACTGCCACAGTGTGGCTTATTTCCAAAGCCATTTAGTGAGAGTTGCGACATATTAAGGCACTGTTTGCAACCAAAATGGCGGATTATGCATCAGTGCAGTGCACATACAATGTATATAATTCGTACACAATAGTCGCACGTCGCAAATCTCTCTATATACGGCTCGCGAATTTCTTTTTTGTAGGCGGGATGCTTCAAAGTCATGCATAATTCAGTTTCCTTTGAATCGTTGCAAGACTCTTTGGTTCTCTTTTTTCCCTTAAAACAAAATTATCTCAAGGATACATTTCAGAGTTGATGAAAAATGAGCAGCGACGACGTGGATTCGAACACGGGATATTTGAATCCAGAGCTCATCACTGTGTGGTAGCTCGACGATGTCCGCACTTTAAAATGCTTTAAATGTAACTGGTTGACTAAATAACAACAACGCTCTTGATATCGTTGTTCTGTTTCATGAATAAACATACTGGCCCGATCAAACTATTGAATTAGTCTCGACTTTGGAGCATGCCGCCTACAGAAAAGAAATGTGCGCCCCTGCCTATTTCCATAGTAGCGCGCCTTCTTATCACTGGTTTCGACCCACATGTTTACTCTCATATTGTCTCAACCAGTCTCACCTCGTGCACTCCAAAAACTGTGTTTAGCATGTTAAACACAATCTTGCTGTCACTTTGTTAACATTGTGGAAGCTAAACATTATGTTTCAATTCCTAAACATCAATGTTCATTACTATATCCATCCTTACTCTAAATAATATGTTTAGTATGTAAACAATAAATGAAAACTACAGCAAGATAGTTTCTAGAAAAGTGCTTAATTGCTAAACACAGTTTTTGCAGTGTGTGAGGGCGCACATAGACACAGACTACCGTCAACGTGGTGTGGACTTTTGACAAATCCATGCTCTACGAATAAACGGTATTGTGACGCAGGGCTCATGAAATGTGATTTGTATTAATGCAATCCTTGAAAATGCACCTTTGTGTCCCTTTAACCTTATTTTCAATTTTTATTTTGCAATTTTCAACAAAATTCACCAAAAGAAATATCCATTAGTTTTCATACACTTAATATGATTAGAAAGTAGCACAACATATTTTCGTAAGAAATCTTCACTTCATTAGCCCTTTAAAGGCGTTTTAAAGTTTCCAAATGATACTGACATGTGTCTTTATATATTGGTTTCCGTAATCATGTCAAACACAGGGTGATGGCCTACATGACTTAACGTAAAGAGTGGGATGTCAATCAACCACAACAACCAAAATGGACCCATCTCGGACAAACTGCATACCGTAATTCACCTTTTTACTTTGTAAAAACTAATTTTAACAAATGTTAATTCGTTTTTATCAACAATTTGAATATATGGAATCACAACATTTTAGCAAATTTGTAAATGTTTTAGAATGTATTTGTATCATTTTTTAAATTCTGTATTCTGTTTTCTGTAATATTTATTTCAATATTTACTAACATGTAGAAAGTACATAAGGTTACAATAATATGATATTTGATATGTACACAGTGATAATAAAGTAGCAAATTAAATGACAACATTTTAGTTGTAAGGTCAAGCGAAGCGCTTGTGTGCCCCAACATATGGACAGACAAACATACAACCAATTAAGGTAGCGTAATATGGACCAAGGACAAAGAAAATACAACGTGAGACAGACAAGCATGGGACAAGGCCTAATTATTAGCTCACAAAACACCTTAATAGATGATTATGAGTCGAGGAACTCAGCTGTCAATTTTTGTCACAAAGACAGGTAGTATAGTAATGATTTAAGAGGATCATCTAAACTAATCCAGTCTGCATTCTGATTAAACCAAGATGTACATCCCCGCGTTGCCTCCGAAGTATTCGACACGTGTTGGCCTGTTCACTTAAGCCTGTTCTCTTAGTTGTGGCTTGTAGTGTGAATCGCTTTCCTCTAACGCAAACCAAAGTTTTCATTTTCCCTCATTTCTTGTTCTGTTCACCATTATGTAACACTTTCAGATTGTTCTTTCATCAAAATATCTTAACCGGTTTTGAAGTTTTATCAAGTTACGATATTTTCACACCGATCGTTGGCATAGCCTGCGCTTATAATTAAACCTTCAAATCTCATCTCGTATAAATAATCGGTGTAAAAGTTTGGTTTAGCACAAGTTTCCTATAAAACAGCCTTTTCTTTTACAGAGAAACGCTGTGCACCACTTTAGTGCGTTTTAATGCAAATTCAATTCTTCAATATCAATACAGAAGCATTTAGTTATTGGTTTTTTTTTTAAATATAGGGAACGTTATAATGATCAGTATCACTGCATCTGTAATAGTATATGTGATACGGTTACTTTCCAGATAGACGTTGTGTTGTTTTTTAGTTCTAGTTTCAAGCTCTAGTCTAGTTTGTTACTTCAAACGGCGCGTATTACTGTTCTCAGTAAGCTTCTATCAGCAGTGATGAATTAATGTGTTGAGGAAAAGAAGAGCTGAAACGTTACACCTGTCCATGTGGGAATCTTCTGAAGACATTTCTCGTGAAGAGGACGCCTCTTAATGTATATAGGGGGGTCACTTGGCAGCTATCGACCAATCAACCATAATAGCTGGCAATTCCTTGGCAGCATCAAGGGGGGGGGGGAGGTGGGGGACGGTTGAGGGCTGGACAACATCTGTCCATAGAGAGCGTTGTGCGTATTCACATTATAATTAAATTAGACGTTACATTGATATACTTATGAGCAATTATCTCATTTTTTTCATAATGTGCAATTTTCTTAATAAGGATCATGATTAACAAATAATGTCTTACACTCAACCGCCTTTGGACGGACAGAGCACGCTGTCTGCAACGTCGAGTTCTACACTGAACCAACCGGTTCTTTTCAGAATCACACTTCTCCAAGAAGAGATTTCATGGTGTTATCGGCAATTTTTCTATTTTATCTTATCCGCCATGCAAAACTTCAAGTCATAAAATGTGACCTACTGTAGCAAAATGACGAATGTCCCCAAAAACTATCTTTTGAGTAATCAACGCACGAAGTTGCATAGGCCTACACTAAAAAAAAAAAAAATCGTGTCAAAATCATAATCAAACTAAAGAACGTTTTCCACTGCCGTTGGCGGCGCAATGCGTATTTCTTTTTGTCAAAGCCCTTGTTCTCGATAATATTCCTCCCATTTTACAGTTTCAAGCCACTCAATATTTGTTTTATATAACTGACATATATATCCTTGTCATTTTAGTGATATAATTGAACTTTTATTTCAATACAAAACTGGAGGAAAATGTATTTCTCTCTTCAAATCCGCCACTCAATATTTGTTTTATATAACTGACATGTATATCCTTGTCATTTGATATATTTGAACTTTTATTTCAATACAAAAAGTAATTATCCCATTTTTTTCATAATGTGCAATTTTCTTCATAATGATCATGGTTAACAAATAATATCTTACACTCAACCGCCTTTGGACGGACAGAGCACCACTGCCCGCAACGTCGAGTTCTACACTGAACCAACCGGTTCTTTTCAGAATCACACTTCTCCAAGAAGAGATTTCATGGTGTTATCGGCAATTTTTCTATTTTATCTTATCCGCCATGCAAAACTTCAAGTCATAAAATGTGACCTACAGTGGCAAAATGACGAATGTCCCCCAACAAACCATCTTTTGAGTAATCAACGCACGAAGTTGCATAGGCCTACACTAAAAAAAAAAAAACCGTGTCAAAATCATAATCAAACTGAAGAACGTTTTTCACTGCCGTTGGCGGTGCAATGCGTATTTCTTTTTTTGTCAAAGCCCTTGTTCTCGATAATATTCCTCCCATTTCACAATTTAAAGCCACTCAATATTTGTTTTATATAACTGACATATATATCCTTGTCATTTGATATATTTTTACTTTTATTTCAATACAAAACTGGAGGAAAATGTATAGTTCTCTCTTCAAATCCACTCCTTCACGAAACTGTTTGAACCCAACGTTGTAGCGCTGGCTCTTTGGAACAATACGCGCTACGGGCAAAGCTGAACGCGCACACCAGCATGCATTTGCACACAAATACCGCGTCATGATCCTAACTGTTCAATAGTATTTCCATTCGTGAATGGGAGCAATAACGAATGTCACGTAATGTGAGTTCCACCAATCGAATGACAAGGATCTGTATGTCGGTTATATAATGCCATATACTTTTACTTTTTTTTTTTTTTTTAAATATAAGTCACAAAAGGCGTGTATCGGGAGTGTGTTTGTGAAATGTGCTGAATACAAATTTGCATTGACAACGCAGAGTTTGCTCTTTGGTGCTTGGAATTGGGTTCGAATATGAAACGGTGGGGAAATCTTTGGAGATCCAGAATAACTGATTTTGTTTACTTCAAACTTTTAAAAACATCGCTTAGAAAAAAAACCTATGCTCTAAAGCACTTTACCAAACAAGTAAAATATGGTTACGTGCCTTAACCTTACCGCTCAATGGTGCATGTAAAGCGTTTGTACTGTTTGTTCTCCGATTTTCTTAAATATGTAACACATTTGGACTATCGCAAAGTTAAAAGATAACCTTAAACTAATTGTTTCTCACAACAAAAATCTGGGGGATGATCCGATGGTCCATTCCCGCTTGTACAAAAAGTAGGGAGATATATCCATAAGAATTGAGCTACATAAACAATCGAGATATCTAGACAATGTCTACGCCACTTGATAATTGGTCAGCGGTGCCCTTTCGTCAGCATTCGGTGGGCATGCCTCGTAGTAAGCAGGCGGTCGAACCTGTGTTGAACACCAAAAAAAAAAAACAAGGACACGATTCGCCAGATTAAGGACACAAAACATAAATTGTAAATTTCGAAAGCCCACTGATGATTTCGAAGTGTAAAACGTCACAGTCGAAAGCCACATATGTGTTGCAAGTTAGTTAATATTTTAAAGGAAAAGGTTGCATATGTTCGTAGGGGAGGAGTGCGCTACATGTTTAATACCAAGGTACCCACTTTCTCTTTCTAAAGCGCCACAACACACAGGGTAAATTAGTATACTTGGGCGGTTCTTGAGGATAAAAAGAAAAGTTGAAAAGTAAATGCCGTTCCTAATCACGGCTAAAGGAAACTAGTTTAAACACCAAGGGTCAGTTTTGAAATATGGATGAAAAACCACAACATTGCACGCTGTCAAAAAAAAATCAGTATTGCAACGTCGAAAAATGGCATTAGTTGTACTTCTAACATCATTGACGTCTGTCATGAGATTGTTACCTTTTTAATTCCATCCTTGCAGCTACGCTTGTTGCATTTACTTTATTTTTCTAATATTCGGTGCTATTTTGGGATTTATTTCTTCTTCAAATTTCCGTATTCATGAGTAAAATCGAGATATATAATTTTGGCAAAGTTTTTAGGGGTAAACAAGTAACTAAGCACAATTGCTTACAAAATCTATATTTTGGGTCTACAAATTTGTAAAGAATATCCGTAAACAATTAAGTGTGCGTCTAAATTGCCATCACAGCAACAACACCCTCTATTATCAGGAACAACAAGGGACCATTTAAAATAATTTTGAAAAAAATCACTAAAAATGGATATTTGCACTTTTTTGTATCAAATTCTTGACATAAACTTTTGCATAAACCTGATGCATTACTTTTCGTAGGCTTTTTTTGGTTCTATTGGTTATACATGTAGCAGACTCAGGCCTAAAAAAAAAAAAGTTATGTTGGCGTAACGGGCCAGAAAAAATAGGGTAGGTAGGTCGGTGGTTTTTTTTTTTTTTTTTTAATAATCCCAGCAACGAAAATGACATTAAGCCGGTAGTAGTACACGATAACAAAAGAAAACAAGGCTCATCATCAACCTTTTTAAAGGTACATATCAAAGAGCGGAATCCAAAATCAGACAAAATGTTAGCCGTTTCATCTGCATCGACATCTTTATATGGACCCGATTCTTCCTTTGAAGTTTGTATTTTTAGCACGGTGTAAGCCGCTTTTACACCATCGGCACAGCTCTGGGCGATTACCTATACCCCCAGTTCTAGACTCAAATTTATCCGAATTAAACGGTCGAAAATGACCGAAGATCCCCATTTGCCCTTGATGGAAACCTGTACGCTTCGGTATTGGGCCGGGCGCCATGATGCGACGGCGTACGCGCGTAACACCGGGCCGCGCCGAGGGCCGGCCGGGTCGCGTCGGCCGCCGGGGTTACAGAATAGTTTACCATTTTTAGAATAAATATATATCAATTGTTATCGTGTAAAATAGTGGAAAATTAATTAAAATAATTTATATTATAATGAACTATTTTCTTTAACATGGAATAAATAGCGAAGTATTTTCAATAGTGTATGTAGCAGTCTAGGACGAGGCTATACATGTACTGTACATGCATGCATGGTGCATGGATCTCCGCACGCGCACTGCCTGCGCGTAGGCCTGCGCGATCTTCTGCATGTTCGTTGTGTCATGGAGAGGAAGGTGCAAAACATTGTGCACTCCAAAGTTCCACGCGCGCTATCGTCATACAATTGAGGAGAAACGGTCAGAAATGGTTTCAAAACGTATTTAAAATTCATTTCGATAGATTTTAATTATATTTCTTCCCTTCCAAAAAAAGAAAATATCCAGGGTCGGCCGCATTTTTAGGGTCGGTCGGGTTACGCTAACATAACACTTTTTTTTTTTAAGGCCTCATTAGCATAAGACGGTTTAATGTATGTGTACCACGCCCCGGGAACTTACCGGTGTTCCAACTCCATGATGCACAGTCCTGTGATCAGTCTTGCGGCAGTAGCACTTCACACAGCAGCACTTCACAAGGAAAGAAGAGATCCAAGGTTAAGTCATGACCTGCATTAATTGCTGCCCCTGAAAGACCAGCTTATAATGTATACTGACCTACCGACCATGGGCGTCGCGAGGGGGGGCAAGGGGGGCACTTGCCCCCCCCCCCCCCTGGAAAAGCAAAAAAAAAAAAAAAAAAAAAAGGAAGGAAAAAAAAAAGAGGCGCGAAGACAAATTGGTGTAAATTTAATGAGTGGGGGGGGGGGGGGCAAATTGTCCTTGCCCCTCTAAAACTGATAAATCGAGAATGTGTTGAGAAATACAAGCATTTTTTGGCACATTTTTTTTTGCCCCCTAGAAAAAATCCTGGCGACGCCCATGCTACCGACCGAGCACATGTAAGTGAGTCACTAAGTAACTTCGACCGAAATCTTTCGCGCAAGAACTGTATAGGATACCTCCAAATCTGTTTTCACATACGTTAAAAGAGGCCAGTCATGTATCGCATATCCCCTGACAAGAAAATCTGATATTGATAGCTCACCACGATCAGAGAGACAATCAGAACGACAGACAGAGCGACGGCTGCAGTGATACTAGGCACGATCCATTCCTAAATGCAAATACATCTTCGTCTGCAAGGAAAAAATATTCACAATTTTGACATTTGATTGTGGAACCCCATAATCTACATTGCGCTGATGAAACCCCAATTCGTTTCATCAAGCAAAAAAAAAAACAATTTTGGGGGAATCCCAGTTATTCTATGAAACGATTGTTCACGCATGTTGCTAGTCTGGTTTCCAGACCAAACGTTTCTGACTATGAATCTATCATTTAGACGT